AGGGTTTTGAACTGTGATCACCATGTGGGATCTAGCTTCTCTTGAGCAGTGCATTTCATAGTGGCCCACGCTTTATTTTTTAAAGTATAGATAAACATAAAATAAAGCATTATAGTAGTTGCACAAATGTTTCTGTACAAGTAAAGACTGAGACCTTGCCCCAACCAATGTGCACTGGCAGACAGCGCCACCTCAGAATGGTTACGACAGCTACATTTCTCTAGAGTGCGGGTGGAAACGTTATGCCCATTGCCTGGTCCTTTGGTCAATTGTGAATATTTTGTTTTAAAGGAGAAGACAATTAAATAAATTGGAATATTCCCAAGGTAAAGCAGCAAAAAAGCGAATCTTGGACATAGAAGACAATATCTCTAACCTAAGGAAAAACCACCAAAAAGAAAAAAATAACAAACAAAAATGAGGATATTATACAAGAAATACTAGATTTCATTAAACCTCCAATCATGTGAATAATTGGTATCCTGATAGGTGAAGAAACTAATAAGGACATTGAAACTAAATTCCATAAAATCATGAAAGAAAACTTTCCAAGACTAGAGAAGCATGCAAACATCCAGACTCAAGAAATACCACGGAACTCAAATAGAATCAATCCAAGATCCTCTACACAGCACATCATAGCTAGACTGGCCAAAACTGCAGATAAAGATAAGATCCTAAAATTGGCAAGAGAGAAACATCAAGTGACTTATAAAGATTATCCCATCAGACTAACACTGGACCTTTCAATGAAAACAATGCAAGCAAAGAAAGTGTGGGAAGAGATATTGAGAGTGTGAAGAGAGAAACAGTTTCAACCAAGATTATTATATTTGGCAAGATTATGCTTCATATGGAAAAAAAGTATAAAAATCTTCTCAAACAAAACCTGAAAGAATTTGCCAACACCAGACCAGCTCTTCAAGAAACTCTGAAGAAAGTGCTATACCAGGGAAATTAAGGAAGGGACAGACAGAAATAAGAGAATAAAAAACAACCAAGAAAATGGCCAACTTAATGGTAGGGACAAGACCAGAAATATCGATAATAACATTGAATGTTAATGGATTAAATTCTCCAATCAAGAGACAGAGTAGATTTTAAAAAGAAAAAAAAAATACAACCCAGGATACAAAATCAGCATACAAAAATCTATAGCATTTCTATATATGAACAGCAAGCAGACTGAGAAAAAAAATGAAGAAATTCCATTTACTATAGTGTCAAAAAGTATAAGATTCCTAAGAATAAATCTTACCAAAGAAGTCAAAGACCTCCACAAGGAAAACTATGAGAAGCTGAAAAAAGAAATTGAAAATGACACAAAACAGTGGAAGGACATCCCATGTTCCTGGAAGAAATAATATAATCAAAATGGCAATTCTACCCAAATTAATCTACATATTTAACACAATCCCAATCAAAGTACCAGAGACATTCTTCACATATCTAGAAAAGACAAAGAACTTTTGAGACTCCAGAAATAACCCCCCAAACATACATCCAATGGATCTTTGACTAAGGGTACTAGTGGAAAAAGGAAAACCTCTTTAGCAAACGGTGCTGGAAAAACTGAGTATCCACCCAAACAAAGATGAATCTGAACCCCTAACTCCTACCATTGATAAAAATCAACTCAAAGTGGATCAAAGAGCCAAACCTAAGAGCTCAAACTATAAAACTACTGGTGGAAAACACTGGGGAAACCCTGGGAGACATTGAGGTAAGTAAAGACTTCTTTTTTTTTTTTTCTTCTGAAAATTTTTTTTTATTAATTTACATTCATCCCCTGAACATCATCACAACATACTAAATGTGGTTTCCCATCTAGAATAAACTGCATAGTGGCTTAATCATGCATGTTATCATCCATAATATTCCATTTCTACTTTCATATATATATATTTTTTTTTTACCCCATGTCTGACCCTCTGCCCTATTCCACTCTCTTATTACACTATCTCTGCTGTCTACAGTTGTCTTCAATTCCTTTTCCCCCAAAATTTTGTTGATCACACAATATCGTATGTAATCTAACTACTTTCCATAGCAAGTTCAGCTGATGGTTTAAAGAAAAGCAGTTTTGAACTGGTAAGGATATTTCTTTGAAACTTAAAGCCTAGAAACAGGTTAGTATTCTGTTCAAATAGCAGGTACATGAATCTATTGACAGCTGAAGACAGGACGAAAATCTTTAAAACAGGACAACAAAGCTTAGAAGAAAAGCAGCAATATTTTAGTCAAGTCACAGAATGCTGTTTCATCAGTTCAGTCTCATGTACTCAATCTTTCTTCTGTTTCTGTTGAGGTTCGATCTTCCAGATTGAACTCTGGGATATAAAACTCAACTCCAGACTTTGTCCCTACAATTAAGTTGCCCATTTTCTATACCTCTCCTCCAAGGGAAAAGGATAATTCCTCTTCATCCACACACAGTTCAATGGAAGTCATGGAAATGTCTGATAAAGAATTCAGAACATTCATAATGGCAAAGCTTACAGAGATGGAAGAGAAGAGAGACAAGGAACTGCTGAAGAGGAAGGAGAAAGGAGTTGAAGAGTTCTAGGAGGTGAGGAAATTCATGCAAGATCTAAAAGAGGAATTTAATGCTTTACAAAAGAATCACATGAAACTGTTAGAGATAAAGGCTATAATAGAGGAAGTCAAAATATCACATACAGTAATTAGTGTGACTTGACAATCCTTGGAATAGGAGAATATTTTTGCAAACTAGTCCTCAGATGAGAGACTGATAACCAGAATACACAGGGAACTCAAGTAGGTACCTGAAAAAATTGATTAACCCAATTAAAAGATAGGGAAAAGAGCTGAACAAAAATCTTTCTAAGGAAGACATACAAACAACCAAACGGCATATGAAAAAATGCTCAACATTCTTCATTATAAGGGAGATGCAGATCAAAACCACGATGAGATACCACCTAACTCCAGTCAGAATGCTGAAGGTTAAAAAAAAAAAAGGGGGGGGGTAAGTGCCAGTGGGGTGTGGTAAAAGGAGAACTCCCCTACACTGCTGGTGGGAATGTAAATTGGTCCAGCCACTATGGAGAACAATATGGAGATTCCCCAAATATCTACAGACAGAACTACCATATGATCCAGCAGTCCCACTCCTGGGTATCTACCCAAAGGATAGAAGAATGCTTAGTCAGAAAAGTGCTTGCACGTCAGTGTTTACTGTGGCATTATTTGAAATTGCTAAGACATGAAACCAACCCAAATGTCCATGAATAGAATGGACTGAAAAAGTGTGGCACATATACTCTATGAATACTACTTAGTCATAGAAAAAGGCCCTGGCTTTTGACAGAAAGTGGATGGATATGTAATATTTACTGTTGAGTGAAGCAAGCCAGGCTGTGAAGGAGAGACATAGATGTCTCCACTTAACATATACCAACTGTCAGCACTCTATGGCTAAAAGCATAGGTTAGAGGACATAGAAACATGGAAAATGGTTATAGAAACTGAATACAGTGTGGGAAGAGGTTGGGAAGAGGATGAGTCTGAAGAAAAACATTAAGGAGAGAAATAACGAGGCAAGACATTTATGGGGTACAGAAATGGACACGTATAGTATCCCCAATGGGACTGATGAGGAATGTATTCATGTTGGAAAATTCACTTTACAAGCTAGGTGATGCATAGATTGAATGTTTACAATACATTAAAAGAAAATAAAATATATTAAAATTTTAAAAACCCCAAATATAAAGGAATTACAAAAAAACCCCAAATAAACAAAAAACTGTTTTATGCTATCATTCTATCTTCTATTCAATACATTGCAGTCAAAATACAAATCTGAACAGGCATACCCCTGCTGAAAACCTTCAATAGTCCTTGATTTCTCTTTACAGTGAGTCAAACTCATACCCGTGACCCACAAGGACCTGTATGCTGGTCCCTGCCAATCTCTCCAGTCTCACTTTTTACTGCTGCTTCTTCATCAGGCCCTCTGAGTTCTCTATTCTCAAAGGCACCTTGTGCTCACTCTTATTGCTAAAGCTCTGTCATCTACCAGGAGCTATTCTTCCTCCTACTTAGATCTTCATCAAGGTAATATTTCCTTAGATAAAGTTCCTCTAGAAAGTTTATCTTGCTCTTCACACTATGTCTGATTTAGGTGCTTTTTCAGACACATCATCATTACCCCAGACTACTCTGTATTTCAGTTATCTGCTTTCTTGTAGTCCTCTTCCATAATCCTGTTGAGAGAAGTGATCATGGCTGTCTGGTTCATTCTTAAATCCTTCACACTGAGTGTACTATGATAGATACTTTTAGTATCTAGGAGCTTAACATGCACACACACACACACACACATACTTTTTCTTCCTTCCTTCCTTCTTTCCTTCCTTCCTTCCTTCCTTCCTTCCTTCCTTCCTTCCTTCCTTCCTTCCTCTCTTAAATATAAAGAAATTTTTCACAAGTCTGTTAATTCCCAGAGAATAGGCAACTGGTTTCTGAGTGTGGGTACTCAAAGAATATTTATAAAATTTTTAATTGAGAGCCATATTTCTCTTGCTTTGCATGAGTTGGACTTACTGAGAGTGGAGTTTTTAGAGAAGAGACTTGCCATTGTCCCTCTGTGAGCTTTGGTCAGATTTTAACCTATCTACCTGGGGATACTATTTCCAAGTCCATGTAGATAGGCAGCCGGACTAAGACTACTCATTTACCCCTTCACTATGAACGACTTTGGTAAATGAACTGCCCTCAGTATTCTTGTGTCTGAGCCTTGTCCTGTGAGTGAAACATGCATTTCAACTTTTCAGTTGAGACTACTTGATTTAAAACTGTATTTCCTTTGTAAAACTTAATACTTTGAAACTTATTTTCCTACCATGTAGAAATAAGTCTTGGAACTTCATGTATCACAAAAGTCAATATTTTAATGTATCATTTAAAGTCTAGAAGACAAAAATCACAATTTAACTAAAACAGGTTTTCTGCTAAGTATAGGTATTTGTAATTACCTTCTAGTGCATATTTCATATCCAGAGCAAAAAGAGTCCACATAATCTCAGCACTTATTTTTCCCATGTTCAGTTCTTGAGGAAACCTAAAACAAAGCACAATTGGTTAGTGTGTCTAAAAGAACAATGTACCTTAAAAAAACAACACCTTATTTTATTTATATATACCTCAATAATAGTCATTTACAGATACTTTTTTTTTTTTTTTGAGAGGTTTTTGCTATAGGGCGCGTGCGCTCGCCATAAAAACAGAGACAGAGAGACAGAAAGTGAGAAATCACTCCCCAGGGGGGATGGCCACGCTGCAATCTCTTCTCCTCCATTCTCCTCTCGGGATCTTGGGCACGCATACACATGCGCCCGGCGTGAGTTTGAGCCACTGGGTCTGGGACTCGAACTGCAGTCGACTACATGGGAGTTCCGTGACATAGACGTTACGCTAACTGCTGGTCCCTATAGATACTTTTATTTATAAAATATCTCCTTAAGAAATTTCACAGGCAGGAAAAAACTTTACACCAGCATGCAGTGATGAATATCGTGCTGTGGGAAATAGAGTTCATTATATTGGTGCTACAGTAGGGGTATTTAGGGATCCCGTCAACATCTTATAATGTGTGTTTGTCTCTGAAGAGCCTTGTAAGTTTTGTCAAATATTCTTTCTTTGTGTATTTGATTTAGAGGACAGTCAGATGAATGTGAATAGCAGATACCATACAACACCAAAATATCATGCCTCATGTCCATCACTTAGTTGTTTTTCTTGAAGCAAACTTGGGTACTTCTATACTTGATTTTCTTAAACCTCATCCTCTCTCCTCTCCTCTCCTCTCCTCTCCTCTCCTCTCCTCTCCTCTCCTCTCCTCTCCTCTCCTTTCCTTCCTCTCTTCCTTTCCTCTTCCCTCCCCTTTCCTCTCCTTTCTTTCTCTCTCTCTCTCTCTCTCTCTCTCTCTCTCAGTTTTTGCCAGAGGATGCATGCATTCATGGAAAGAAAGAGAGAGAGGGCAAAAGAAAGTAAAAAGTAAGTAAAAAGAAAGAGAGGGCAAAAGAAAGTAAAAAGAAAGTAAAAGGCACCATTGTCATGCCACAATTCCTACTCCTCCATTTTCTTTCTCCCCCCCACCCACCCTAGAAATAAGCCTCAGAACTAACTGATCACAATAGTACTTTCCTCAAGTTGCCTTTTGGGAGTCAAAGTGCCATGTGGTATCCATCCATTTTAATTACCATTGTGTTTAAACCAAACACTCAGGCTAAAAAGAAGATTCCTATTGAATATGCATTTTATTTGCATATGTTTTCAAAGACATGATAAGGAGTCTCATAATATAGAATGTAAATATGATGACTATATCATTATACTGTCAATATTCATTCTGTTCAGGAACCTAAGACCAAAACTATTTTCTGTTCACAATTACATTTTACATACACACACACACACACACACACACACATACACATATGTTTAAAACACAAATATATAATGCACTATATATGTGTCTGTCTACATATATATATATATATATATACATACACACACACACACACATACATATATGTATATATACACACACACAGATATAAAAATATTATCAAGGAACAAAAATAGCTCTCACCTTCATCTATATTTATTTTTGGACCCAAATCAAAAAAGAGTAATTAATCCTGTATGAGTTAGAAAATATTACCTAAATAAAACTTCAAATTAGAAAACACCGTTGAGCCACATAGACCTAACTAGTCGAGTCCAACTTTCCACCAAACCAGAATCCTGTACCAACTGGGACCAGGAGATGACATAATGGTTACATCATTGGACTCTCACGTAGTTTATCATGGTTCAAGTCCTGGGCCTAGTGGCTTAAAATTCACACTGGACACAGGTGTATGCATGCCCAAGATCCCAAGAGAAGAATGGAAGAGAAGAGATTATAGTGTGGCCACCCCACTGAGGGGTGATTTCTTGCTTTCTTTCTCTTTGTCTCTCTCTGTCTCTTTAGCAAGTGCACATGCCCTATAATTAATAATCTCTGTAAAAAAGAAATCCGGTAACAACTACAATCTATTAGTTTTTTAAATAATGTCAATACATAATTAAAAGCAGATTTTCCTTTATAACTATTTAAACTCAGAACTTATGATTAAAAAAACCCCTGAACATATGCAAATTTATTTTTAACAAATAATTTATTTTGAAGGGATTAATTTGTGCATAGATAGTAACTGAAAATTTTGTAGTATATTAATTTTTTTGTAAAGTCAAGCAACAACAAAATTATAAGTGATGGGATGTAATGAAAGGATTTGAGCTCATAAAAGTAGGATATTGATTATTTAAATTTTATTGATTCACGAATACAGGACATATTAATTCATTCTAGAGTGCCCTGATATAAAACCCCAAAATATTACCAAAGACAAGAGAACTCCAACAATAATTTCTCAAAGATGCAGAAAAAAAATAGATTACTATTTGAGAAGCAGAGCAGGGAGAGTAGATGGAAAGAAGTTGGTTAATAGATTAAAAAATTACAATTAGGTAAAAGGAATAACTTCTATATTTCTATAGTACAATAAGATACTGATCATTAGCACTAACATATATTTCAGAATATGTAGAAGATTTTGAATGCTCCTCACACAAAGTAATAATAAATGTTAGAAACAACGTGTGTGCTTATTATCCTCACTTGATCATCACACATTGTATTCATATACTGAAAAAGAACACTATCACCATGAACGCGTATAGTTACTATGTGTCAATTTTTAAAAAAGATGCTGAGGGGACAGATGGAAGAATACTAAGAAAGAGAGCAACAAATACTAAAGGGCTGTTTTCCTATACTATTGGATGTCGGAAAAGTCATGACCCAACATGAAGAAAGAATATGTCATTGCATATTGCATAGAGGAAAGAAAAATATGTCATGACTTTTCTGATAACCCTATATTTTCTGTTCTCCAGGGGATGTGACTTCAAGCAATAAGGTTTACAATTAAAAGGGACACATTATAGCAGTGAGTGCAAAGTACTGAAGACAATAAAGCTAAGAGTACAAGAAGCCGGTGTGGTCATTCACAGAAGCTAGTTGAAGAAGTAAGATTCGTGTGTACTTTTGAAGAAGAATAAAGATTAATTGGTGGCACAGATTAAAGATGAATAAATTGTGCACCCCTGTTAATAGTTGTAATTACCATAATAAAAGGCTCTGAAAATGACTTCTAAGGTATTTTTTTCCTTTAATCTAGGAGCTTCAATCAGATAACTTCAGAACACAGTATCTAAATATAAGATGTTAGTCTCAGGGTTTCATAGTTACATAAGCACTGTAAAATTTGATTTTGATTCTTGAAAAACTGTGGTCTATGGCTTTCATCACTACCATTAAATTCTCAACATGGCAAAACCTAACCCAACTCAAACCATCATTTAAAATAGCACCAGCACACAGGAAAAATATACACAATTTATAAAGAGGTGACATCATTAACATGAAAAGAACTGTTGCAAATCTATAAGAAAAACATAAATATTAGAAAAAATGGCTATTGAGATAAATGGGTAATTTAGAAAAAAATCACAAAAGCATAATAAACAGGAAAAATTATGTTCATTCTTTGCAATACTCGAAGACACTTCTAGAAGCCATAAAAAACTTGGGACCAGCAGTTAGCATAATGGCTATGTCGCTGGACTCCCATGTAGTCGACCGTGGTTCGCGTCCCGGACCCGGTGACATAGAACTCACGCCGGGCGCGTGTGCGTGCGTGCCCAAGATCCCGAGAGGAGAATGGAGAAGGGGTTGCAGTGTGACCATTCTCCCTGGGGGGTGATTTCTCGCTTTCTGTCTCTCTGTCTCTCTCTGTCTGTCTGGCGAGTGCATGCGCCCTATAGCAAAAACCTCTCCAAAAGAAAAAAAAAAGAAAAAAAAAACTTGATGAAAATATTTTTTTATATCTGATTTCTACATGGTTATCTATTATAGCAAATCTCTATAGGTCTCTAGTTGTGGTTTTTGTTTGTTTGTTTGTTTGTTTGTTTGTTTTCCATAGGGTGCCTGCACTCACTGGAGATTCAGAGACAGACAGAGAGAGAGAGAAAGTGAGGAATCACCCCCAAACAGGAAATCTCTTCTTTTCCATTCTCCTCTAGGATTTTGGGCATGCATAAACAAGTATGATTTTCAAGCCGCTGGGTCTAGGACTCATACAGCAGTCAGCCACGTGGGAGTCCAGTGCCTTAACTACTATGCCTTCTGCTGGCCCCAGGTCTTATGCTGTACCAATATCTACGTTGCCTTCACCCCTTTACAGCCCTGAGGCCCTTCTTCATTTGTTATATTACCTTGATGTTACATGACGCCATAGAATATGTGCTATTAAAAAGTACAAGCTAGGGCTGCTCTATAGGCTAGTAGTTAAGAGCCAAATCCCACATAGTTCACCCTGGTTCAAATCTTGACTCTGCGTTACAAACCAGGCATGTGTGTGTGCCCTAAATCCTGACAGAAGGGAGAAATGGAGAAGAAGAGACTGCAGCATGACCATGTTCCACTGGGTAGTGCTTTTTCCCACTCTCTCTCTGCATTTCTCTTGAGAGTACACATGTACACATGCCTGCTGGCAATTAAAATACTAGATCTTCTTTGACATGAAAAGGTGTCTGACACACAGCGCTAGGTGAACAAAACAAATTTCAGATCAGTGCACATACATAATGTGACCCCATATTTTATCAAATAAGATATAAAAATAAACTTTATTAATGAATTTCTATGCTTCTGTAGAAAACATCAACTATTGTAAAAGTAAACTCACAAAACTAAAAAAAAATTGTAAAGCTAGCTTTGGGAGTGTCACATCTTTGTTTTTTTTTTTATTGATTTCATTCACAAATATGACACAGAAACATTAGAACTTTTATTTTTCACTTCATACAGTCCTGTGAGGCTGAATATAGTTATTTTTATAAACATAAAAAGTTCAGGTTTCTCTTTCAAAATACATTGCATGGGAATTTTATCATATCTGAGGGGCTTTTCAAAAAGTTCATGGAATATGCATACTCTAAAAAACTATG